GTTTTCTAACTGGCGTGCTACAGCCAGTTTGCCTTTGTAGTTTATGTCATTGTGATCGACGACTGACATTGGGCACATCCTTATGGTCCCAACATTGACTTCCTCACCCTCTGAGTCGGGTGAGTATTGAGGTCCTTCGTATGGGTCCTCTACTTCGAAGCTTGATGCTTCGGAGTTACCAGAGTTGTTCTCTGGTTTCTCATCTGATGAGCCTTTCGACTCTTCATCCGTTGAGGTCACGATCTCCATGGCAGCTATGCGCCTTGGTTTTTCATCGCCCATTACATCGTGTCTTGGGCAATCTTTCGTTTGCCCTATTTTGCCGCATTTGCCGCAAATTGGAACTGACTTTTGGTCAGTTTTCCTCGAGTTTTTCGAGGATGTATCCTCTTTCCATCTGGGTTTCAGCTCTTCAGCCTTTTTTCCTGATGGGAGGACTCTACCGTGGCTCATGGTTGCCATGGTAGTTGTTCGGGTATAGTAACCTGATTTGTAGGCTGAGGACATCTTCAGCCCATCAATTATCTCGTCTACACAAGATATTTCTTTTAACATCTCCTCGTTTGAGGAGAAGTCTGCTCTGATTCTATCATGAGCAATCATCTCCCTCTTCCATTCGAGGGGAATGTAGTTTAGGAACCTGGCGTTGAAGGACGCCTGGTCTGGCGGCGTCACCATCTGGGACACTGCTTTGGACGGTTCTAGGTAGAACTGTTTTAGGCCTTTTTCCACTTCATATTTGACGTTGCGGTACTTCTTTGTCGTGTTCAGCATGGCAGAGGCTTTAATGAAAGTTCTCATCAATATGTTGGGAACTTCGAGGAACATGCCCTCGTCTCCTCTGAGGAGAGTTTCGTCTCGGAGTCTAATTCCGAGGTCGAACGCGGGCCCCCCTAATCCACGAATCAAGCAGTCCAGGTGGACTTCGTCGAATTGGGGACCTTTGCATCCTCGCGAGGCAAGGAATCCCAGTAGTTCTGTGAACCACTGCCAGAACGATTCCATGTCGTTCTCCCCTGACCATTTCTTGTCTGGGAATGCTGGCCCATTCTTTAGGGCTTCAGGCTTCACTCCTTCTGGGTAGGGAGTGAGTATTCTCACTTCGGCCATTCTTATGGCCTTTTCGTACCATTTCTCCAGGTACTCTTCTTGCTCCCCTGCCTTTGCAGGGTTGCTATCCAATGGAGATCTCTCCTTTGGGGGGGTTTTTGCTTGGGGAAATCTTCCTCGCAGCATTTCTTTGGTTTCAGGCAAATTTGCCTGAAGTTGTATTTGTATTCTCTCATTGTTTTGAGAGGGTGTGATTGAGTTACCTCTCTGTTCGAGAGGTCTGTCATAAGTGGATGTTTGGCCGAACCTTTGGTATATGCCAATTCTCCTCCTAATCTCTGAACGATGCCTTCTTTTGGCATCATCTTCTCCTATCCTTGGGAGAAGGATCTCCTTAGCGTCTCTGTCAAGTCACTGATGATATTCCAGTGTGCTTTCACTGGTGGTTCTTTTCGTGAATTTTTCACGAGTTCTATTTATGTCCTGGACCGTGGTCCAGGGGTGTTTATTTGTTTCCTCACTTTTTTGTGAGAAATTTATTTCCTTCAGCAAGTCTGTTTGTTCGCTGATTTTTTCAGTCAACGCGTCTATTGCATTGGCCATTCATTCTAGAGTTATCTCTAGATGAGCTGTACTATTATGGTTCGTTTCCTCGATCTTTTTTTGGATCGAGTTTATCGTGTTTATTATGCGCGATTCCTGGTTTTCCAGGAGGAAGTTTGGTTGGGCAAGCAGAGACTCTCCCCAGTTGACATTTCCGCTTCTGGTGGTTCCAGAATGGGTTCTTGGAGTGAACACTCCACGCTCGCTTTGTTTAGGCGAGGCCGTTGCAGAGGGTGCTTCCCTTTCATAGAGGGGTCTGTTTGCTGGTTTTTCCTTACTTTTACGTAAGGCTTCCTCAACAAACTCCCTCATTTCAGTTCGCCTCCTCTTCATTATCTTGGAGACCTCCTCCAAGGTTGGCGACCTTGCCTTGTCTGGCATGGTGTGTGGGAGTGTAAACTGCGGAAGTTCTTTTGGAGTTTCCGCACTGTGGGAGATCCTGCTCTCAGGGCATATCTTCGTGCCTTCTTGGGCTTTTAGCCTGAGAAGAAGTTGGTCTTCACTTTCCATCCTCCATTCAGACGGAACCTGGAACAAGTCCAGTAGTTTTTCGGATAGCCAATGCAGGGGCTCTTCCCTTTGTTTCCCTTTGTCTGCCTTTGGGGCTTGACTTGGGGACGTGAGGGGGGACTCCAGGGGATAGTGGGGCCCTGGAGTTTCCTGAAACTCTATCCGATCAGCTTTTTGGGCTGATCGTTCGGCGCTTACACGTTTTTCGTGCAAGTCAATCACCTCATGTGGAGGTGAGGGATCTTCCCCAGCTTGGGTTAGATTGGGATGTCATGGAGTTCTTGGGGGTATTTGGCCCTGCACTTACTGTTAGAACTGGGCGGAAACAGACGACTCCGGAGTGGAATCAGAGACTTAGCGTGGAGGGACCTTGGCCTCAGCGACTCAAGCAGAGCGCTGTGCCATTGCTGTTTGTCCATTTGGTCCTTAATTTCACAGTAGGTGAGCAGGAAGTCTCTAGGGGGCATTTCAGGTCGATTTCGGACTAAACCAAAACGAGTATGTACAAGCGCCGATATATATAATGGAAGGGGCAAAAGCACAAGGAAAACAAAGGGTAACCGAATCGGAATGAAGACGTCCGAACGGGAACAAAGGGTAGAAGGAGCGGATAGGTACCGAAGGTCATAAGGCAGGACCTGTGATACATCCGAAAGGAGGTAGGGAGGGCGAGGCCCAGAGGGGCAGGAGGATGAGGGGAAGTGGGGATGATGACTAACTGGCTAGAATAGGAAGAAGCAGTAGTCCAAATAGGGATGAGGGGAAAACGCGAGAAATACATTACAAGCGGCGAGGGTGCCGAAGGCAATCCACGAAGCTCGGGGTTGAAAGTCCAAGGGATATTGGCAATGGTGTTTACATAGTATGAGGTCACCAATGCAATGGACTAAGACCGAGGTGGAGTCAAAGTCCGAGGTAGGGACTATGACGGAGGCTCGGAGTAAGGTACGAGCGGTGTCCGAGTGCGAAGTACGGAACAGCGGTGGAAGGTCATAACTTGGCGGAAGGGTGGTGGAGGAGTAACAGAGGGAGGAGAGAGGGGAAAGGTAAGGGAGAAGGAGTGGCGGAAAGGAGAGTAGTCAGGTCCGAAGGTGAGTATCGGAGCAGATGGGGAAAGCGTAGGAGGATAACGGGAGGGTGGAGGTGTTGTGAAGGGGGAGCGGAGTAGTAGGAGGGTGGTGAGAGGTAAGGAGGAGGTGTGTTGCCAGGACTGAAGGTGAGCATCGGAACGGCAGCAGTAGGTTATGACTCCGGAGGTGAAGAGGGTGGAGGTCCGGAAGTCGGGTCGGGGTCGGGTATGCATGGATATGACACTTACTCCACGTAAGTTTCTAAAACCTTCAGGGACCAGCCCTGAGGTGGTTGCTAATGGCGGATCATGTTGGTCCTCGTCGTTGTCTGACAACAGCTTTTGGTTTGAATCTCCCATCATGGGAGATTGCGGTTTCTTAATAGACCGCTCGTTTCTTTTTAGTGTCGCTGCAGATGCGACTTTGCCATTGTGGGCGTGTTTAGGCGCCATACACACTACCGAGTCAGAAGTTAAGATTATGTAGTTGTTGTGGGTTGTGTTGTAAAACACACCTCATACACTTAAAAAAGTGTGAGGTCTTTGGGTAGCTCAGCACACAAGGCTGTAAGTGATACAAGAGTGTGTATTTTACGGTGGTGTGTAAGCAGTTACCCGGAGGTTCCCACTTACCCACGTGACTATATGTATCTAATTTATATATGACTCAGGGTTCAGGGCTATTGCCCTGACAATATGACACCATCCAAAGTGACTTGCCACTGATCCACCTTTTGCTTCATGCCCTTTTGTGTTTTGTATTTGATTGTTTTCATGACAGGAAACAAAGGAATGGTGAATGAATCCATTCCATCCAGTTGTCCCCTTCAAAATCATTCTGACTTGATGAGGACACAAGAAGGTGGGTATTGCATTTCCTGCACTGATCCTCCATTGTTACAGGGTTGCTCCCATGGATTGGCCAAATCCCATTTTTCTTTTATTGTCAATGGCCTTCCTCAAATACATCTTCAGCTGTAAAGCAATACAGTTTTGAACCTGTTACTTGACAGTGTACATTATGCCCTTCTATACCTAGAGGGAATACAGTCTTACAATATTAATGAAGTCTTCCTTCCCATCAGCACTTGGAGTCCTGCGGTTTGTCATTTCTTATTATTGATCCTATTTTTTTTTCATAAACATTTTAATCCATTTTGGAAGAAACCCTTCAAAGACAGAGTGTATAATGCAGCCAACAGGTTCTTTGTTCAACATAGCAAGAATGAACAATTTGATCAAAATACCTCCGGTCATATGGTTGTCACTGACTGTTATTTGAAATGCCTCACTGAATTGAGAGGTTCTGGCCTCAAAAAAGTGGGATTCAAACTCTCCACTGTTGTGCATCATTGGGGCAGGAGATATTCCTTGTTCATCTGAATGCTCATTGGGTTCTTCCCCTTCCAACAAGAAATTTTGTACCTTCACCAGAACATTCCTCCTTTGTTTTTCCCTTTATGTCTTCATATTTTTTTCCCCATTTAACGACCTTTTCACATTTTGATGTATATTGTATCGATAGCTGTTACATTTCTTGTCTCTATCATGAACCCGGAGTGCCACTGAAGCTTTGATCTCAGCGTCATGTTTGAACTTCAACACCCATTACGTTGAACAATACAACTGACAAGGATGTTGAGGGGCAGTGCAGGTCAGCGCGTGCGAAGACACGCACTCTAGTTCTGGATATTTATCCTGAAAACTATAAGCTGCTCGTGAGAGTGCTAAGGGCAGGGTCGGGGTAAATACATGAAAATATCAAGAGGTAAGTCCGATTCGGGTGTGCTTGTCCGTTCTGTCCAAGGAATGCACCAAACACTGCTCCACTCTCAAGTCGTCACGATCCATAACTGGATGGATGTCTAGATACCAAGATGATGTGCAGAGAGAATCTGCAAGAGACACATAAAATCAGCAACCCATGTTCATACACAACTCGAGACTGCAATTGTGACGCACCACATTTTGTGTGGTACGATCATTGGCCATGATGGTCGACGGATCTGCCGTGAGATAGATCTTGTTAGCGTACCAATCTCCCCTCATAATTGATAGCGTTAGCGTGTCTGTGTGGAAGTGCCCCAAGTGAGTGTCGCGGTGCAATGTGGATAAAGAGGCCCTTCGCTGCCAAGGGTATGAATCCCCGAATGGAAAAAAAGAGACACTCACTGGTATTATTATCTGCCCATCCAGTGGCTGTGATAATGGAAGTTGTAGGATCGTACTGCCAAAACGCCGTCAGAAAGTGCTTTCCAGAAGAGGAAACCACGCCATCAGATTGAGGGGTGTCATTGGCTTGAGCTGGGTTTGACGTTTAAGGGGAATTAGATCAAGTTAGGCGGTGAGTGCTCCCGGACTGACGTACTTGGCACTGATGAAGTTCCCAAAAAAGCATATGTTCCCTTCCCAGTACCGAGTGCAACCCCCGGATCTACGAGACCTGCCAAATAGGGATGGCCATTCTGGAGAAATTGCATTTGGAGATTGAAACGGGGGGGTGAAGAGATAACGCACTGAATTACTCCGAAAGCTCACGCTCTGACTGATGCCATTTTTATGGAAGGAGGCCGAGAAAGTATCGCCGTTGGCCTCCGCCCCTATTGAGTACCACCCGTTGATGAACTCGAGGTATCCAAGTGATTTCCCGCCTTGCGTGGAATTTATTTGAATTTTGCCGCTCCAGTAGTATGTGTCGCTGCCCTGTGCCCTTTTGGCAGCTGGAGATCAAACCGAATTATAATCCCGCCATACATCTTCGTGCTACGTGTCAGTGAAGTGGCTGCAGACTTACTCTCAGTTGGTGAAGCTTCAATATTCCACCTCCTAGCTGGGGGCAAAGGAGGCAAGCCCCTCGCGAGTCGCTGCGCGTTCGTTTCTCCGTGAATAGGGTCCCGGAGCTGAGGCGCAAGGCGGCGTAACACCTTCCGTTGAGGAAAAGGGAAGGCGAAGACAGAAGCCGTAAAGAGAAACAAGAAAAGAGCAGCGCCCTTGAACATGTTCGAAAACCCCGCCGTAGCTTGAGGGAAGAAAAAAAGGAGGTGAGCCTTTAAATGAGAAATCCCAGGGTGGAAGAAATGGAAAAATCTTGATGGCGAAATATTAAATATTGATCTCGCTTAATCCTCCATATTTGTGCCAGTAGTCACGAATCGGCATTATCAGTACTGAATAGTTGTGCAAGCGCACAGAATTGCAGCACGTTGCGCGTCTAGAAATCCGGGGTGCGACCATTAGTCGGGTGTTATGTTTGTCAAAAAGGAAAGGTAGAGATGGGCGAAACCGACGTCAACATCAGTTCCTAGCGCTCACCTACAAGGTAACTATATTACCAATTAAGTTTTCTTCGCCCTACGTGCCAGAGACTGAACGCGACAAAGTGGACACCCCCCGCACGGGTTCATTCAGAATTATTAGCGAGATCTTCTTATGAAACCTGCGGAAGTGCTGATAGGATGCAGTTACAGAGGCTGGTCATGGTACCTGCCTAGCAGCTTGTGCCTATCGCTTATGGCTCTCATCTCCATCATATGAATGATAAGTCCTGTCTGACTCCGCTTTACGCATGTGTGATGCAGATGGCTTTCATTGGCTGCTTTCTTCATCCGTGACAACTCCGGTAACACTGCTTCTGAATTGAAGATATTGGTATTGTCCTGTGTCCTAGTGCACATGTCCCTTGCAGGATTTTTTGTTGGTGGGAGCCTTCTACAACATGCACAACAAGATTCTGCCTGAAAGTTTGTGGTGGGAGGGCTGTGCCTGTTGGAGAGCAGTGCGTGAACCTACAAAACAGTGACCTGAGGGCAAAAAATCACGTGTTTGATGGATTTACACAAATATGGATACTGTACTCACGCGTCACACGAGTATAGCGGTTCAAAAGTCCGGTGTCATGCCATTTGGGCAAACCCATTCACAATGAGCAGTGGGACTTGGAAGGCAGGCCAGAATGAAATGATATGCACACGACCAACTACCTGTCACATGTCACGCTGGCCTCGCGGTCCGGCCAATTTGACCATCATGTCACGTATCATGCTGGGCAGCAACCGGTGTCACACAACACATCACTGGTGGCATGGTGACTATGCAAATGTATTTTTTTGAGTACATACTTAGATTAGAAACGAAAAATCGCCAATTCCTCATCCCAATTGCGTGCCTGTCTAACTTGCATTCCATGGCCGAGGTCACTAGGGGCAGTGCCATGGTTCTCAGAGAACTGTTTTGAACCGGGACCGAACTGAGAACCAAACCGTGCTGGAACCAAACTGTGGTTCGGTTTTGACCCAGTTCTCTCATGGTTCAGTTTTGGTTCTCTAAGTTAGGGGGAAAATGTGAACCGGTTCTGAACCAAACTGAACCAGAGAACCGTAGGAATGTTGTCATGCTCCAAACCTTACTAGTATCTTACATCACACAAATGAAAAATGTGCAAAGGCTCTGACAATTTTAAATTATTCTGCCAGTCATATTCAGGGATGGCCGAAAAATCACAAATGGAAATTGTTTTCAGCTCTTACACCTTTGCATCTATTTTAAACATCCTTGAGATGGATACTCACTTTGACAATGGAAGTGAGTGGCACACAGACCCTGAAAACCCAATGCTGGGTCCAGATGGTAAACTACGTGATGCTACTGAGAAACCGGATCAATTTGTCTACAGTCCTTTGGATACTTTGCCACACCCTCCCTCTAATTCTGAGGGCTATAATCCAGATGATGACCTACCTACTGCTCATCAAATAGTGCAAAGGCCAAAGTGGACCATAAAGCAAATTACTTGAGAAAATCCAGTTGAAGCATTCGAGCACCAAAAACTTGCTTCCAAGAATAAAAATAGGCCTAACACTTCACGGAATAGAGATGTTGGTATTACTCAACAGACCCTGGAAGCATTCTCAGTCGGACATCAACCAAACAATCTTGGGCTACTGGGGAACTTGAGACAGCCCACAAAGACAGCAGAGCTCGGCTATGTCACAACATCCAGGGTGTTAGATACATGTCAGGGAACACATGTGCTCATGCAGGTTGCTCTGATAACCTAGTTGTGATTAAAGCTGGGGGAAAGGAAGGTCCCCATCTTAGAGTCAGCTATATACATGTAGAGTCCAGCAATAAGGAAACCAAACAGATCACTGATAAAATCACATGATCATAGAATGTTCCAGAACAATTCCGGATATGATCCGGACCCCGGGGCTTAGGTAAGCGGAGTAGATGGGAATTGCCGGTGTTAGAGACCGGGGTGAGACGAAGGAGTTGTCTCCATGGTGGAGGGCTTCAGCCTCAGCAACTCAGACCAGGAGCGCTGTGCCAAGTTAGATGTCTGTGCCCTAATTTACTTACTGGCAATGTGTCAGGGCACGGACGGTTATCCGGCCGGCCCGGACCTCTATCCGGATAGGTTGAGTACCCGTAAGCCGATATCTGCGTGTGATTTGCCATAGTTAGAACGCAGGCTGTATTCAATGCGCTATTTCCGCTATCGCGTCATCCCTCACCCGTTATCGCCCCCTTATCCGCATGATCTATTCTCCTATTTCATGTCGCTTCTCTATCGGCTACCATGTGTTCCCAGTGTAGCCGCGCTCTTATGAGTTGCGGAACTCATGTATATAAGGCCTTATCGCCAGCTGGGTTGGCCCCCCAGCTTTTACAACGACTAGTTTCCCGGGGAGATTCTTACGCGCGAACTGACGCGCGGACTCTGACACAATGAGAACTAAAGGGGGATCAACTCTAGTCGATTTTATCACTGAGGTGTAACCTATGTACAAGTTAAGTATATATATAGTTACAGCGAGGGTGGACCCATGAATGGCAGGGCCAAGCGGAGCAGAGCTAATGGGGTTAAACATTAGCCGATTGAATATTACCAACAAGTCAGGTTGCAGGGTTAGCGGAATGGCAGGCAATAACCCAGAAATGGAAAGGAGGGATAGGCCCAAAGGTGGACTTGCAGGGCAAGCAAGTGAATTGCCCAGCAGAGGTGGGAGTGCGCTAGCAGATGTCAGAGCTGTCCAGAAGCCTTCAGGGCTCCATACTTAGGGAGGCATAGGTAATATATTGAAAAGAGGGGGTGGTGACCATCGAGGGAGGTGGAGGTGATTGTGGAATATGGGAGCTCCAAGGTTAGTGAAGAAGGAGTGGAGGTAGTCCAGGAGGATCGGAGGTAGTGGAAGACGATGGCCATGGATGGATATGACAGCTCCGCAACCTCTGAGCTTCATGGACCATACTTGGCACTTTCACTGCTTGTGATGTATCTTTCACACTTTCCCCTCATCCCTATTTGGACTACTGTGTCATATCCATACCAACTCTGCCTCACCTCCACTCTACTCTGCCACTGTTCCGGTCCACCTCCAGTCCTTCCTTCCCCCACACCTCTGCCATACCCTCCAGTTCACCTCCAGTCCACCTCTGCCTCCGATCTCTGGTACCTTCTCTGGTACCTCTTATCCTCACCTTATACATTTATTAATATTTCTACCTACCCAATATTACTACAGGCCTCCTAGGACCTCCACCCACTCCGCAAAGGTTTTCCCACTCTCCAGTAGCTGTCGCTAATTCCACCCTTCATCTACCCATGCCACAACACTCAATAAGGTGATTCTCTCACGAGCTCGCTGACCTGGCAAGTGGGTAAGTCCCCCTTGGGTTTTCCCCTTTGTTCCCATTTGTCTTCTATTATGTATATAAGTCCTGTACTGTAGTTGATGGCACCTCAGTGCAAAATCGATGACTAGACTACCCCCCAGAGTTCACACCCCCTTGTTCTGAAGTTAAGGACCAGACTCCTAAGCGTTACCAAATGTAGGCACAGCACTCCTCTCTGAGTCACTGAGGCCACGGTCCCTCTGCCCATCCTCTACCTCCAGCCTCCTTCGGGGGAAAGGTCCAGGCACACTGCCCTCCTCACCGTGTATCTGACATACTGCTTCCTTCCATTTTAGCCAGTTTGTTAGATTGGGTGGATTCAGACAACTCCGGAGTGGAATCGGAGACTTAGCATGGAAGGACCTCACCCTCAGTGACTCAGGTGGAGCGCTGTGCCATTGCTGGTTGTCTTGGGGGTCCCTAATTTCGGATCTAGCAGAGGGGAAGTCTCTTAGGGGGGAATCAAGTCGATTTTGGACTGAGGTTACAAGTTACTATGTATATAAGGAGGAGGCCAGAATCAAAAGGAGCAAGGGTACTCCAAAAGCAGACAAAGGGAGCTGGAAGGAGGAACAACACTGAGGGTCAAGGGTTTGACTCAATGGTGTTTCCCAAAGGAGGAGTGAAGGGCCAAGGCCCAAGGAGGAAGGAAGGAGGATGGGAGTGGGGAATGGCTAGCTGACTGAATAGAAAGGAAGCAGCAGCCCAAATAGGAATGAGGGAGAATAGTGGAATTGAAATGGGACAATGCAATAGTTGCAAGGTCTGAAGTAAGTCCGGAAAGTCTGAACTTGGAAGTTAAACTCTGGAATATTGGCAAAGGCAATTAAATAACCAATACAATGGGTATAAGTGGAGGTGGGGTCAGAGTCCAAGGTCAGAGCTAAGACTGGAGGTTCCAGAGATGGAGATGTGAACAGGATTCCAGAGCGGAGCTCTGGAGTCGGGAGCATAGGTGTTGCATGCTCATCTGGAGGGTGTTGAGGTTGAGGTCAGACCCAGAATGTTCCAGAGTCGGACCGAAGGTGGTGTCAGAGCTGGAGGTGGGATAACTTCTTGGGAGTTGGCAAGGAGAAGGTGATGGAAGGGAAGTAGGGCTCCGGAGTCAGTTTCAGAGTTCTGGGAGCCCAGAGCAGAGGTCAGGATTGTATGGATATGACACAGTTAGTCATCAACCCACTTCACCTCATCCTCCTGCCACTCTGGGCTTCGCCCTCCCTACCTCCTTTCAGATGTACCATAGAGTCCAACCCATGACCTTCAGTACCACTCCATTTCCATCATCCCCTTGTCCCTGTTTGGATGCCTTTGTTCTGATTCAGACCCCCTTTGATTTCCTTGTGCTTTCAACTCCCCACTATATACAGGCACTTGTACATACTTGTTTTGGACCCTCAGTCTAAAATCGACTAGAAATGCCCCCTAGAGACTTCCTGCTCACCACCTCTGAAATTAAGGACCAAATGGACAAACAGCAATGGCACAGTGCTCCCCTTGAGTTGCTGAGGCCAAGGTCCCTCCTTGCTAAGTCTCCGGTTCCCCTCTGGAATTGTCC